CCCCTCCCATCTCGCTCTGCGTGCGACGTTAGAGGGCTTCACAGCCCCTTGGGGTGCCCCGGCCGGCCCCCGCCCGCGCCGCGCGGCTCACATTACCCGCGCACACGTCGACTCGGAGCGGGCGCCCTGCCGCCGCCGCCGCCGCCACCCAGCCCCGCGAATAGTATACTCCCGCACAAAACTACACCCGAGTCGGTGGGTCGGCACTCACCGGTGTCTGATCTCCGGCCGGTCTCCTGCTGAACGGCGCGCTGCTGCAGCTGCTGCTGAAGCTGCTGAGTCAATTGCTGCTGCAGCTGCTGCTGCTGGGACGTCAGCTGGTGGTGATGAGGGGGCGCCTTGGCGCTCGACTGTTGCGGCGGCATCTGTTGTTGTTGCTGCTGCGGCTGCGGCGGGTGATGCTGCTGCTGCTGTTGCTGTAGTTGGAGCTGTTGTTGTTGTTGTTGTTGCTGCTGCTGTTGCTGCTGTTGCTGCTGTTGCTGCTGTTGTTGTTGGAGGTACTGCTGTTGCTGCAACTGTTGTCTATACTGTTGTTGCTGGTACTGTTGCTGGTATTGTTGTTGTTGTTGGTATTGCTGATATTGTTGTTGCTGCTGTTGTTGTTGCTGCTGTTGCTGCTGCTGTTGTTGCTGTTGCATCTGCTGTTGTTGTAGTTGTTGTAGTTGCTGCTGCTGCTGCTGATTGGGCGGGTAGTGAGGGTGGTGGTGGCGGTGGCAGAAGTTGAAATGCTGTGAGTCCTTGTAGCCCTCGGGTGGGCTGAGGGTGAGTTGGTGATCCACATACTCCGCGGACGGGCTTTCCGTGGCGTGACCATGGCCCTGGTGGCCCTGGTGGGCTTGGTGGCCTTGGTGGCCCACCTGGTGGCCGTGTGGGTAGTCATACCGGCCCGAGTACCCGGAACAGTATTCGTTGTCGCACTCGTGGAACGGCTGGTCGCGCTGCTGCTGGTAGTAGCCGCACAGCTCGTACTGGCCGTCACACGCGTCCTGGTCGCACTCGTCATCGTCTGGGTCGGGTTCCTCGCGCACGATGATGACATAGTCCGACTCGAAGAACGTGTTGAGCGACTCATCAAAGTGCACTCGCCTGCCGCGCTGCCGCGGGCCCCGGCCGCTCTCCGTGCGTTTGAGGGCCGACTTGAGGCCGTAGCCGGGGCCGTGGCTGTGGCCGTGGCCGGCCCCGGCCGCGTGCGTCACGAACTGCCCCTGCTCGCACGTGCACGTGCACTGGGCCTGCTTGTTCTTCTTCTTGTCCCTCATGACGAGCGGGGGCGGGCCTGGGTCTGAGTTAGCCAGCGGGAGCGGTGCAGCTGGCGGTGCCGCTGGGCCCTCGGCGGCCTGCTGCTCCTGGGGGTCCGGAGCGCCCGGCGGAGGGTCCGGCGGGGCGCATGGCGGGGCTGCTAGGCGGGCGTCACCGGCCTCATCGACGTGAGGCTCGACGAGAGGTGATGCAGCACCGGGAGAGGGGGGCCGCGGAGGGGCGGGGGTGG